GAAACTTAACTAAAAAATTTTTCTTTTTCCCCTTTAAAATTTTTTTTTTTTTTTCCCTTTTTTTTTTTTTTTTTTTTTTTTTTTCCTTTTTTTGTCTTTTTTCGTGTCCGGCAACGGGATCGCAACCCTCAATGTCGCGCCCGTACCGGACCGGGACCGGCAACGGGATCGCAACCCTCGGTGTTGCGCCCACACCTCGCTCAGCCAGTGAGCGGGAACCAGTCTGTATGTGGGATCCGAACCCTCGGCGGGAGCGCCGCCGCGCTCCCAAGCGGCGCACTGCAGCAGTGCACCACCGGGCCGGCCCCCTTTTCCCTTTTCTAACTCAGAAGGAAAAACATCCCGTTTCTTTTCCAGGCTAACTGGGCCACTAGGGGCCCTAAATCCAGCCCTTTTTTCTTCTTCTTTCTCCATTTAGGACCCTACTCTTTCACTTTTAAGGTGCCTACCACTGTTTTTCCTTTTTCAAAACCCACAAACAAAAATCTTCATCTTATCCGGTCAAGCTACCATCTTGTATCTCTTTTTTTCCCTTATGTACAAGTTCCAAAGAATTCATATTCACAGTTTCTATTTTGCAATCTGGCTTTTGCTCTCAATCCACTATTGAAATTGCCTCTTGTAGCTCACAAATGATTGTCTAATCAGTAAGTTTTTTTGAGCCTTTATCCTTCTTGATTTTTCTTTTGCATTTCACAGTTAATTATCCTTTCTTTCTTGAGACTCTCCTCCTTGGTTTGTGGGACTCCCATTTCTTTTCTTCTAAAAACTGCTCTCCACCTCATTCCATTAGTGGCTTTTTCCTCCAGTACCCCAAAGACCTTTCTTCTTCTCTAGGCAAGCCTTTCCTTGATAATCTTCTATCCACTCTCACAATTCAAATACCACCTTTCTTTGAATGATAACCAAGGTTGTATCCAGCCAGTACCTTTTCTGTGAACTCCTTACATACACTTTCAAATGCCAGCAGGACACATCTACCTTAGTACTCCTCTGGCATCTCAGACACATGCCCAAACTCAGAAGCTTCCCCACAAAATCCATTTTTTTCCGACTTTCTTTTCTGTTACTTGTTTAACATTTTCTCAGTCAGCCAAGACTAAAGACTTTAAATCATCTATTACTTCTCTAACTTTCTTTCCAAAACTTGAAATCAGTTGTAAAGTTCTTTCCACTCTGTCTCCAGAAGCACATTTATCTGTCTCAACCTTCTCGTCACCATCACCTACACAACCACGATCACTTCTTAACTGGTGTCTCACTCCAGCTTCTTCCCTGTCTAGTCTATCCCACTCGATGCTGCCAGGGCATTTTCCCTTCATTTCATGATACTTCCCTGTCAACAATCTCTAACAGCTTTATTGCCTCTTGAATAAATCTAGACTCCTTAACTTGGTATTCAAGAACTTTATAGTTTGGTCCTTAAACGTGTACTTTCAATTTTCCAATTCTATAGCTTAGTGTTTAAGGGTATGGACTCTAGAGCTAGATTGTTAAATTTGAATTCTTGCTCCTCTTCTATACTGGCTGTATGACCATGGACAAGTTTCTTAATCTCTCTGTGCTTCAGTTTCCTCATCTGTTGTAGTTTTTGCAACACTGCTATATGGGTTGTTAAAATTAAACATGTGGTAAATGCTTAGAACAGTGCCTGGTGTATAGTAAGCTCCACAAAAGTAGTAAGCTCTACATAATGTGTTTCATTGAACAAATATTTATTAATACCTACACATATGCATGTATGCCATGAATCCTTCTCAGGATTTGGGGATGATATCAATGAACAAAAGAAATTTGTTCATTGCCACACAGCTAGTATAGCAGAGAAGCAAGGATTAAGATTTAACAATCTGTTAATTTGTTAATTTCCAGAGCTGTTATTCCTATACAGTTGCCCCTCAGTATCCACAGGGGGGATTGATTCCAGGACCTCTGCAGATACCAAAATCTGTGGATGCTCAAGACCTTTGCTGTCATTTGAATGTCCTCCCAATGTGGTGGTGGAAGGTGGGGCCTTTAAGAGGTTAACGGATTGATTCATTCATGGAGTTATGGGTTGATGGTTTAACGGGTTGTCATGGGTATGGTTCTAATGGCTTTAAAAGGAGAGTGAAGAGGTTAGCTTTCTTGGCCAGGCCATTCTCACCATGTGAGACCCTGGTTGCTATGGGACTCTGAAGAGAGTTCCTACCCAGAAGAAGGCTCTCACCAGAAGTGCCTTCTGGACCATGGACTTCCCAGCCTCCGAAACTGTAGGAAATAAATTTGGTTTCTTTGTAAATTACCCAGTTTCAGGTATTCTGTTGTAAGCAATAGAAATGGACTAATACATCCCTAATATAAAATAGCATAGTATTTGCACATAACCTAGGCAACCCTCTGGTATACTTTAAATCATCTCTAGATTATTTATAATACCTAATGCAATGTAAATGATATGTAAATAATTGCTATACTATAGCTTTTTACTTGTACTATTTTTTCTTTTCATATTCTTATTTTTATGTACTCATTTTTAATATTTTTGGTCTGCAGTTAGTTGAATCTGCAATGGATATGGAAGGCCAACTGTATTACAGACATAATTATTTATCCTATAATAGAATAATTATTACTAATTGTCCATAATTCTGTTTTTGGAATACCCTTCTTCCTGCACCATCATCTTCAAAATTTGATTCTTTTTTCAAGACCCACTAAAATGCCATCTTACCCCTTGAAGTTGTACCCTATAGGAAGTTCTCATTTGGATTCCTTCAACCCTTTAAATCTGTATTATGACATTTATCACATTCTATACACTCTACCACGTATTATCAAATATCAAATAGTATGATTACTCACATGTGTTTTTGTTATCTCCTTAATGGAGTGTAAAATCAGGTACTCTGCCCTATTCACCTTTGTAAATAGTAGCATGATGTACTTTGTTCCCAAGTGCATAGTAGATGCTTAATAAATATTTCTTGAACTAATGTAGAGTTCTTGAAAGAACTCTTTGCATGCTTTTTCATTTGACCTCTATCCTTTTCTTCTTCAATTGTAAATACAAAAGAAAATTTAAAATAGGATATTTTATTTTCAATTCTGGAAATATCTAATATCAGTATCAAATATTTGTTATTTACTACTTATCTTTATCCTCATCATTTGCCTCCTTGTATACTAGTAGGCTAATTTTTGTAATTTGCTTTACTAAGCATAGTTTATAGCATATTTAATGTCTCCCTGTTACTGCCATTTGAAAAGTGCCGTAAGTTTTTATTAAAGGAGCCATTGTGGATAGAGTATATTATATTTTATTTGTTGTATTTTCTATGGTCAACACAGATTTTCTCCGTTTCTCACATCCTTTCTAACATGATCAAAAACTTTCCAGGTACTCACCTGCAATTTTCTGCTTCACGTCTTATTTTTTTCCTCCATTCCAAAGAACTGTAGATGTTTAAAATTTGCTTTTACATCATCTAAAATAAGAATTAATTTTTTTCCTAGGTCATCAAGTATCTTTCCTCTAAATTTGCTTGCTATTCCCCAGGTATGAACAGAAAGAACAGACCAACTGCAGGTCCTCTTACTTTCTAATCTGTATTTTCACAATGCTATAGACCACCATGCTATTTTTTCCAAACACTATAGTAAAATATAGAGTTACATTATATCAGATTTTAAATCTCCTTTATCCCATTTAACCTTGGTAGGCCATCTTAACTATTTCTCTTATCCAGGCAGAAACTCCATCAAAATGGCATGACAATATCCCTTTTTTAATGATGAGGCCAACACAATAAATTTTTAAATAATGATCAAGGATTTTTTTTTTTTATTCATTAAGTTTCAGTATCATTACAGAAAATGTTATGGTACAGAGTCATTTAATATTATTTTGTCTTTGTTCTTGATTTCCACATGAATGCTGGTAACACTAATATCTGTACAAGATCAGTCTTTGATTTTATTTTTTTGTTCTGTACAATTTTAAATGTATTGGTTAAAAAGGCTGTCAGCACTTAAGGAAGCATTTTTTCTTCAGTTTGTTCAAATAAAAGGTATCCAGTTACTGTCCAAGAGTACTGTGCCATGAGGCTACTAGGGTGAGAAGCTGCCCTGGACGCTCTGCAGGGGATGATGCTTGAGGAAGGGCAGGTCCTCCACCCAGTCAGTCTTCTTTTGGCACTGTGCACATAAACACGAGACACTGATAAAGAACAAGCAAAAGCTCTCTGTAAAGCGGTTATGAAGTATGCTAAGAAGGGAAATCCAAGGGTTGCCTACATTAGTATAAATAAGCAGACAGCCTTGATTTAAGAGCATAAGTAGTTGTATTTTAAAGATGAGAAAAACACAAGTTCTGCAGGCACCTACTGCTGTCTACCAAAAGCTATCGCTATCAGACCTAGCATTGAACACACAAAGCAATTTGCAAGAAAGGAAAAATTTGCTTTGATATAATCAGAATAGAGTTGTCTGTTAAGATTTATTTTTAGGTGTTTTTTTCTTTAAAAGGTATTTAAATTCATTTGAAATATAGTTCAAGATGTTGACTATACAGATCAACTTTTATCCAAGTCAGAAAAACTAGCTGTGCCATTGCATATTACAGGATACAGTCAATGATATGTGGACATGCATCAAAGCTTTCTTCTGCTGGTGACCATCATAGCCGTCCAATGACCATGACATCCACCACCTCGCCCTTGTGGAGCTCCACGTACTGCTCTGTCTTTGGAGGTAGCATCAACAATCCATTGGCGCTGCGCATGCTCATCAGACGGCTGCTCATCTGATTACCTAGAAAGAAATACTTTCATTATAGCAGCTTAAGCATTGAGGCATTTACATTTGAAACCCTTATAGACATTTTCAAAATGAAGTCTGATAAACAGAAATGCAGGTCTTCAAGAGGGAAGAAAGATGATCGAACTTCCCAGTACCTTTTTCAGGTGGCCATACTACTATATCCTATCACATTATAACCTTAAAACATTAGACATTCTTGCTTAGAAGAATAAAACAATTTTATAGCATTATGCAAAATGCCACAGAATTTCTTGATGCAGGCTGACATGTTATGTATGTCTGAAAAGAGAGGATTTAAAAACCTATTAAAATAGGGCTAGCCAGTCAGCTCAGCTGGTTAGAGCACGGTGTTATAATACCATGGTCAAGGGTTCAGATTCCTGTATTGGCCAGCCACCAACAAAACCCCCAAAAACCTATCAAAATAATAAAGATAATAACAGCAACATCTATGATTTCTTTACTAAGTGCCAGACAAGGTACTAGGCACTTTACTTAACTGTCTTATTTTATTCCACAAGATTCAAATGAGTCTTAGGTAACTTACCTAGGGTCCTACTAACTAGGTTGGTGGACAGTTTGAATGCAGGTTTCTCTGATGGCAAAGACCATGTACTTAGTTACTATATTAGTTGATGTTTGCAATTGATAGGATCTTTGTTCAAAGGGTAATATGATTTTTCCAGAGTTACATGAAAAATTAGGCAAAATATGAAAAGAGATGTTGGGATAAAAGTTGAAAGTCTAGAGAAAGTAATTATGGAACTATGAATTATCAATATTGATTTCTTTGCCCTTAAAATTCATCAGTATGTAGAGAATAGTACAGGTACAGAGAATCACGTTATAAATTAGGCTTTAATCTCACCTTTCAGGGTGGCATAGCCACAGTCCCCTCCTTTTCCTACTACGAAAGTTATGCTCAGCATTTACTGGTTGAACAGACCAAATTTTCTGTAATTCTAGAGTTGTGTCTCAAATGTTTATCTAGAAAATATGGCTCAATGAAAAAACTAAATTTTTATTAATTTTTCTTTTACTCTTGTCCTGTTATGATGTACTGTCTAGGAATAATTTAACTCATCTAACTTTCAAAAAGGAAATTGTATAGTAATTACAAAATTAGGTATAATCAAAGAAGAAGATTCTACATAACAGGATGTGTTATAACAGGATAGGTACATAGGGATACCTGCAGATGTTAATGACTAACCTGTACTCTGTGCCCAAGGCAGTGGTTCTTGATGATGCCAAGTCAGTATACACCGATGGTATTCTGGGCGAGGATCCAGTTTTACATCACATGATAACTACAGAATAAAGAGGAAAAGAAAACAAACTTGGTCATATGATCATCTTTCAAAACTATGGGGTGGTGAAGGTTCTGCAAAGGATAGTGGACATGGAAAATATTCTTGTCATTCTGCTACTTCCATTACTGCCACCTTATGTTCTTAATACAGGAAGTCTGGGGGTTGGTTTGCTCTAGTGAAGAAAGAAAAGAAGACTAAGAAGTTGGTTTTCATAGTGGGGAAAAGGGTAGATAAAAAAGATAAAGTCTATTTTTATGGGTTGTGAGGACAGAAACCTCTGACCTATGAATTGAGAAACTGAAGCAGATATCTTAACATTTAAAATAAAGGAGGCAGACCTAAACAAACAAACAAATTCAATGTCCATTTGTCTGTCTGTCCATCCGTCCATCCGTCCATCCATCCATCCATCCATCCAGTAAATATTTACTGAGGACCTAATATGTTCTAGGCACTATTCAGCTACCCATTTCATATACCTATCTTCAACATAAAAGGTATAGGTTCTTTCTTTTTCTCTTGAATATACCCCTAGTGTTCTAATATATAATCTCATTAAGGCAAATAAAAGTCGTCTCTACTAAAAGTTACACAATTTTGGTTAAGCCACATCACGTGCTTTTTCTCTGGAATCCAGAATGAAACTCAATTCTAGCATGTCTTTCCTTGATTAAATTACACCAACTCTTTCACTTGATATTGCTTATGTTTGTACTCTATATCTACTCGTAGGGTAAGTTGCCATTATTCCTACATCATTTTGTGATTCTTCAAGGGCAAATCTCTCCCTCTCCCTCTTTCTTTCAATCTGTGTGTGCATGTGTGTGTGTGTGTGTGTGTGTGTGTATTCTCCAGTACTAAACTACAAAAGCTACTTACATGGCTATTTAATTTGCTAGTATTTCAGCAAGGTTTTTTTCCCCTAGCAATGGCACTGACTGATTCATGGTAGTACAGTGAAACAAGTACTGGATTGGGATGATATCAGATACCTACATTCTACTTCCAGCTTTACTCTAAGGTATGACATATGAGCAAGTTATTTTGCTTTCCTATACCTGTTGTTCATCTACAAAATGGAGTTACATCACATAATGATTAAAGTGCATTCAACTTTTATGATCCTAAAATTTTAAAATTGTTATTTTTCAGTCAATCTAAGAATAAAAACTTATTTTGTTTTAAAGGAAGATATTTATATAGATTTAAAAAACAAGTCAGTTTACAACTAATTGATCACAATCAGTTACAGGTTTCTTTTCCTTCTCCACTCCCACTGCTTCACTTCACAGACCTTTAAAAAAAAAAAAAACCAAGAGTCAACTGCATCAAATTGGAGTGACAAATTTTTTTCATAGCCTCTTCACAAACAGCTGTTCCTTGTGCAGCTAGAGATGAAACTGATTAGATTTTTCTGAAATGCATAATACTTTACTAACCAATCTATTTATTTGTACTGACTTTATAGTTCTTTTATATTATATCACTTAGCTTAAGAAGGCATCTGTTTAATATGAACTTCAATGCTTAAAAGAATGATGCAACATGGGTAAACATAGACACACTTTTTGGTGGATGAAGAATTAGAAATGGTTGATGTTTCAATTCTGATGACTTCTTTTACTCTTTCAACATTGCCAATAGGCTGTGGACTAGGGCTGTTTCCTTTGAATATTTGCCTGGCACACAGTAGTCGCTAAAGAGATAAAATTGTATTATTTGCTGTAGTATTATATGGTATGGTCTACTTGTAAATATTTAAGGGAAAGAATTAGTTAAAAAAAAAAAAGGTCAAGAGAATAAGAAGCCACAGGAGAGGAAATATTTGCAAAAGATACATCTGATAAAGGACTGTTATCCAAAGTATACAAAAACAGTAAGAAAACGAACAATCCAATTAAAAAAAATGGGCAAAAGACCTGAACAGACACCTCATCAGAGAAGAAATACAGACGGCAAGTAAGCATATGAAAAGATGTTCAACATCACATGTTATTAGGGAACTGCAAATTAAAACAACACACCTATTAGAATGGCCAAAATCTAAAAACACTGACAACACCCTATGCTAGCAAGGATGTGGAGCAACAGGAACTCTCATTCATTGCTGGTGGGAATGCAAATGGTACAACCACTTTGGAAAACTGGCAGTTTCTTACAAAAATAAACATACTCTTACCATATGATGCTATAATCGTGTTCCTTGGCATTTACCCAATGACATGAAAAATTAATGTTCACACAAAAAACTGCACATGAATGTTTACAGCAGGTGTATTCGTAACTGCCAAAACTTGGGAGGAACTAAGATGTCTTTCAGTAGGTGAATGGATAAATAAACTGTGGTCCATTCAGACAATAAAATATCATTCAGCCCTAAAAAGAAATGAGCTATTGAACCATGAAAAGACATGGAGGAAACTTAAATGCATATTACTAAGTGAAAGAAGCCAATCTGAAAAGGCTATAAAATGTATGATTCCAAATATATGACACCTGGAAAAGGCAAAACTATGTAAATAGTTAAATTATAAGTCGTTGGTAGGAGTTGGGTTGGAGGGAGGGATGAATAGGAAGAGCACAGAAGACGTTTAGGGCAGTGAAACTATTCCATATGATACCACTATAATGGATACATGTCATCATACATCTGTCAAAACCCATAGAATATAAAACACTGAGAGTGAACCATAATGTAAACTATGGCCTTTTGGGCGATAATGATGTCTCAGTGTGGTTCATCAGTTATAATAAATGTACCACTCTAGCGTGTGATGTTGGTAGTGGGGAAGGTTGTGCATGTGTGGGGCCAGCGGATAGACGGAAACTCTGTTCTTTCCAATCAATTTTGCTACGAACCTATAAGTGCTCTAAAAATAAAATTCATTAATTAAAAAAAAAAAAGGACGAGTAATCTGTCCTTCTTTACCCTGATCATCTTACAAAGTGACCTCAAAGTAACCTTGTGAAAGGGTTCACAGGGGACATGATGACTGAGTCTTCTAAATGAGTAAGGAATTTACCAAGCTAAAAAATGAGATGGTGGTGGTGAGAAGAACGTCTTCCAGGAAGGAGAAGAATCACAGGCATAGGCAGGGAACCTCATGTCTAAAACTTATCACATAACTTTAAAATTATTGTACATATTGGTATAGATCAGTTTCAAATTCATGTCTTCTAGTTATAATGATCATTTCCTAATAATAAGTTAAAACCTATTTACATTTCTTATTTTATTCTTACATTTAAAAATTTTATTCTTATTTTAGATATCTATTTTTAATCCATAGGCCATGATATTCTCATATGACCGGCATCCAATAATATCTTTTAGTGATCAATGACTAATCTTATCACAACAGACAATGATATTTCTCTCTATAATTTTAAGCGCCATAGCAATTTTGCAGCAATATAAACATTTTGTTGAAATGCTTTGTACTTCACTGCTTATGAGCGCAGTCAGAAAGCATCCATCACATTCTTATAGTAATCAGGACAGTAATTCTCAAGTGAAGAGGGAAGGTGGACAAATTAGAATAGTCTGGTGGAGTTGCAACATGCTTACACTCTCCCAGGACTGATCTGGTCCCATGGGAGATACAGGTATTTTCCCTTTACCATCTCCTAATCACTCTCTAAGGCAAGTTATTAATACTAATGGGAGTTACTTCAAGTATGTTTCTAGAGAAAAAGATTGAGAACAAGGAGAGTGTAAGGTGCATTGACGGGATATTAAGGAAACACATGATGTGCTTGCGTGGAAACACAGAGCCAATAATTCTATTCGATGAATGCTAGGATTGTGTTTCTGATTGCGTACTAAAAATCAGAAGCATTTCAATTCCAACCCAAGGGAAATAAGCAGAGTGTTTATTCTAAACTGATGCTCTTCCAAATGCTTTGATATAAAGAGAGAACATTTTCTGTGTTGACCTTTTTAAAATAACGCAGCATTGCCCTGCCCATAGAATGGTGACAGAGTCCAATAGTATGAGTTACCCACTCCAGCACTTAACATCCATCCCCAAAGCAGTAAGAACTGGAAAGGCCATGACTGTGGCATCTATTTTGGAGAATAGTAGTAGTAAGTCGTGTCTGTAAGCTGTGTCTTGTATGGTTAGAAAATAGAGATGTTTCAAGGAAGTGAATAAGGTTATGCTTTAAACCTTTATGGCAGTTATGTCAGTGAAAGTGTCGGGGTAATTTTGGGAGCTAAAAACAAAAGAGACAAATAGCCAAGCATACTGACAACCCGTGCTGGCAGTTCCAGTGACACTGCTATGGGAGAAGGGTGTTTGATTCTTGGACAAGTTCTCAATTCCCTGAGCTGACAGGAAATGGGCAACATCATGAAGAACAATATCAAGCATCAGTCTGATAACACAGCACCACGTCATCGCTGTTGTCACAACGGATGGCTGCAACAATGTCAGTTTTAAAGAAGAGATGGTGGGTGTTCAAATGAGAAATAAATGAAAGGATTTGTAAGAACTTTGCGAAGTCAAAGAGAAGCCCTCTTTCTCTATCTCTCTTACAACAATGTACATTTTTCTTGTTTCCTTAATTTAGCAAATATAAAAACAGTGAATAATTTCAGTATTACTGGTTTGACTGTCTAAATTTAAGCTTTATGACTCTGACCTTCTTTTTTTTTTTTTCCTTTTTGTCTTTTTTCGTGTCCGGCAACGGATCGCAACCCTCAGTGTCGCGCCCGTACCGGACCGGGACCGGCAACGGAATCGCAACCCTCGGTGCCGCGCCCGCACCTTGCTCAGCCAGTGAGCGGGAACCGGTCTGTATGTGGGATCCGAACCCTCGGCGGGAGCGCCGCCGCGCTCCCAAGCGGCGCACTGTAGCAGTGCGCCACTGGGCCGGCCTGACTCTGACCTTCTGACTTGATCACAATACTTTTTGCCCGTTGGTGGCTTTTTTTTTCTTTTTCCACTTAGTTTCAAATAAGACCACCACTGTGGTTATTGAAAAAAAATGAAGCTGAATTTTTAACGAAATTTTAAGAAAAGATCTCTTCATATACTAGTCTACAAAGTCTCAGTATTTAAAAAGTGAATGTTAAGAATATTTAAAGCCTACATTTTCTTAATGTTTTTATCCTATGCAGTCTAAGAGTGACATTTTATTAATATTTCTTCTTCCAGGTTTGTGCTCTTCCTGTTAACTAACCATGTCATTCTGTTATATCATTCTGTTATATTCAGAACTCTTCAAAAGAGTTTGGTTTGGTACTGTAGTTTATATTGCCAAGGAAGTTGTTCACTAGTATAGCGAGTGTATTACATAAATAGCTGAGTAGTAGTAAGCCAAATTGAAGTTAGTGTTGGTGGAGAAAGGGACTTTAATTTCCAAGTGACTTTTACCATGGATAGAATTCCTTAGCCTTAGTAGACAGTCCCTGACTTATGATGGTTCAACTTAACTATCTTTTGACTTTACCATGGTGTGCAAGTGATATAAATTCACTATAAACTGTACTTCGAGAACTCATACAACCAATCTGTTTTTCACTTTTGGTGCAATATTCAATAAATTATTTGAGATATTCAACACTTTATTATAAAATAAGGTTTGTGTTAGATGATTTTGCTGAACTGTGGGCAAATGTAAATGTTTTGAGCATGTTTCAGGTAGGTTAGGCAAAGCTATGACTTTCAGTAGGTTAGGGGTATTAAATACATTTTCGACTTACAGTATGCGTATTTTCAACTTATGATGTGGTTATTGGGACATAACCCCATTGTAAGTAGTGAAGCATTTATGGTCCTTTTCTAAACTATATTGTTCCCCTTTCCTCCTGAATCACCAGGGTCTCTTTCTAGTCCTTTGATTGTCTTTTTCTGTATTGTTCGAAATTTAATAATGGGGTACTGGCCAGTTAGCTCTGTTGGCTAGAGTGTGGTATTTATAAAACACCAAGGTCAAGAGTTTGGATCCTTGTACCAGCCAGCCACCAAAAAAAGAAAAAGAAAAAGAAAAAGATAATTAACATTGGGGTCACAGAAAAAGTGAGCAGGTTAACTGCTGTCCTCTGTGAATTTTCATGGGGAAAAGAGAATTCTTATCCCTCATTCTATATATGTCTAGTATTACAATGGTGCCATCTACATTCTATTGACCATTGTCCTTAAGTATCCACTCAAATTTTTAAGCCTTGCTCTCTAGATTCCTATATGGACATCTAGCTGGAGAAAATGATTCACTTTCGAAGTCATGTAGGAGATGAATAAAAGGGACACTTTCCCCTCCATTTTCTGTCACAAAAGGAAGAACATAACCACATTTTCCATCAAAACTAATATAAAATTATAGATATTTACTTTGGGCAGTTAGGAAATCATATCCTTAATTGTTATCAGACTTCAATTTTAGTTTCTGGTCATTAGAAAACATTACCCTGGCTTTGATGATGGTTGGCCGAGGATCCAGGATACCCTGCATCTTTCTCAGTGCAGGCACAACAAAGAGATTGCAGGTGACCACGGCTGATACAGGATTCCCTGAAAATGAACCAAACATTTATAGTACACTACACAAAAATTTGCTAAATAATTATATCTGTCTATACCTTCAGTTATCATACAGTGTGATGGAAATGCCTTTCTCTTCTGAATCACCTTGACTCCAACAGGGTGCCAGAACAGAAGTAAAGTCAACCAAATGCCATAGAGGGTGTAAACATTTGGGTCTTCTAGTAAAACACAGAGACTTCTGATGCCCAGAAGCTGTTCAACACCATTTATTTCCGCTTTCCTGAGAGTCATGAATCAAAAACCATTATTAATCTTGGTAAGGTTTAAAGCAGTTAAAAAGTTTTATATATCTACTTTTTACATATCCTTTTTTGGTACCAAAAAATTAGAAAATACAGATAAGCATAAGGAAATTTATCTATAACCTCCTCTACCCAGAAATTAAATTAAAAAAGTAAAACCAAATGAGATTTAAGATGTGTCTTATGGACTGAGCTTTGTCTCTCTCAATTCATATAGTGAAGCATTAACCCCAATGTGACTATATTGGGAGATAAAGCCTTTAGGGAGGTAATTAAGGTTAAATGAGGTCATAAGAGTGAGGCCCTAATCCATATAGTACTGGTGTCCTTATAAAAAGAGGAAGAGACAGCAGGAGGGTGTGCACCTTAGAGGAAAGGCCATGAGAGGACACAATGAGAAGGTGGTTGCCTGTAAGCCAGGAAGAAAGGCCTTATCAGAAACCAACGTTGCTGGCACCTTGATTTTGGACTTCCAGCCTCTGGAACTGTGAGAAAATAAATTCCTGTTGTTTAAGCTACCCAGCCTGTAGTATTCTTTTATGGCAGCCAGAGTAGACTAATACAAATACTATGTTCTTTTAAAGTTATAAGAATTTGAGGAATTCAACTGTACCTCTCCAAGAACTCTAGATATGACATACACTTCAAAGGGACAATGGGTCGGCTATGAAAAACAAAACAGAACAACACTGGGCTGTGAATAACAGAGTTTGTTTACTGTGTGGCATTATTAACTAAGCTGTGTGACCTTGGAAAGTTCCATACCTTATTTTTTAAAAAATTATTTACTTATTATTATTATTTTTTACATTCTAAGATGTTGTGGAGCAGTGAGGGGAAGGAGGAGAGGGGAGGAGAAAGGGAGGTGGGGCGTGCTTGGGGCTTGTGGCACCCTCCTTGTTCCGGCAGGGGAGCCCAGGGGGCTTTTGGTGGCAGCTTGGTGGTCATCACTGGGCTGGACTTGGACATCGGGGGGCATGGCTGAGGCCCTTGGCCCTTTCTCCATCCTGGTTTTGGGAGTCTGGGAGGCTTCTGGTACTTCTAGATTTTTTTTTAAAAGATAATTTATTATACATACATGTGTGATACAATGTTGATTTTCAGTAGTTGTGTAGACAGTTAGATCAGGATAGTTAGCTTATTCAGCATTAAAATACACAATCATTCTTTGTGTCCATTAACCAATTCCTCATTAGCCTCCTCCCTCTCCCCTCCCATCCCCTTTTCCACCTCTAGTAACCACAGTTCTTTTCTCTCTTTCTAAAAGTTCAACATATTACTGTGATGTTTCTTTCTTTCTCTGTCTCTTTATTGTTTATTTGTGGATTCAGCTCTCAGTTATGAGTGAGAATATGCGGTATTTCTCTTCCTGTACCTGGGTTGTTTCACTTAGGATAATTTTCTCCAGGCTCATAAATATTGCTGCAAATGGTAGAATTTCATTCTTTTTTATGGCTGAGTAGTATTCCATTATGTATATTTACCACAATTTGCTTATCCAATCATCCATCAATGGACATTTAGGTTGGTTCCATCGCCTGGCTATTGTAAATAGAGCTGCAATAAACATGGGAGTGCAGGTATCCCTTTGACCTGATGATTTCCAATCCTCTGGATATATTCCCAGTAGTGGGATTGCTGGATCAAATGGTAGTTGTACTGGATTGAATTATGTCCCCTCAAAACTCCCTGAAGCTTGAATTGTGTCCCCCTGAATTGGTCAGGGGCGTGGTTCTGAGGGCGTTAAAAGTAGAGAGAGGAGAGTTTCTCTCTCTCTCTACTCTCCCTGCTTCCACCATCTTGCAATGTGAGAACCCTGGGTTGCTGTCACCATCACCGGATGGACTTTGGACTTCCCTGCCTCAGAAACCATAAGCAATAAATTTCATTTTCTTTATAAATTACCCAGTTCCAAATGTTTTGCTATAAGCAACAAAAATGGACTACTACAGTAGTTCTAACTGTAGTTGTTTGAGGTATCTCCATACTGTTCTCCGTAATGGCTTCCTAATTTACAGTCTCACCAATAGGGCAGAGGGGTTCCTCTTTCTCTATGTCCTCACCAGCATTTGTTATTCTCTGTCTTCTTTTATAATAGCCAGCCTAACTGGGGTGAGGTGATATATCAAAGTGGTTTTGATTTGTGTTTCCCTGATTAGTGATGTTGAACATTTTTTTCATATACCTGTTGGCTGTATGTCTTCCTTTGAGAAACATCTATTCAACTCCTTTACCCCTTCTCTAATTGGATTATTTGTTTTTTTTACTGTACAGTTGTTTGACCTCTTTGTATATTCTGGATATTAATCCCTTGTCAGATGCATAGCTTGAAAATATCGTCTCCCATTCTGTAGGTTGTCTTTTCACACTGTTGATTGTTTCCTTTGCTGTGCAGAAGCTTTTTAGTTTGATATAGTCCCATTTATTTTTTCTTTTGTTGTCTGTGCTTTTGGGGTGTTATTCATAAAGTCTTTGCCCAGTCCTAAATCCTGGAGTGTTTCGCCTATGTTTTCTTCTATGAGTTTTAAAGTTTCAAGTCTTACATTTAAGTCTGTAATCCATTTTGTGTTGATTTTGGTATATGGTGAGAGGTATGGATCTAGTTTTATTCTTTTACATATGGATATCCAGTTTCCCCAGCACCATTTATTAAAGAGGCAGTCTTTTCCCCAATGGATGTTCTTGGTACCCTTGTCAAAGATCAGTTGGCTGTAAATAAGTGTGTTGATTTCTGGGTTGTCTATTCTGTTCCACTGGTCCACATGTCTGTTTTTATGCCAGTACTATCCTGTTTTTGTTACCGTAGATTTGAAATATAGTTTGAAGTCAGGAAGTGCAATGCCTCTGGCTTTACTTTTTTGCTCAGGATTGCTCTGGCTATTCAGGGATTTTTGTTGTTCCATATGAATGTTAGGATTGCTTTTTCTATTTATGTGAAGAATGTCACTGGTATTTTGATGGGGATCACATTAAATCTGTAGATGGCTTGTAGGGTTTGAATGTGTTGTCCCCACCAAAACTCATGTGGAAATCTGATCCCCGATGTGGCAGTGTTGGAAGCTGTTTGAGTCATGAGGGTGGATCCCTCATGAATGGATTAATGCTCTTTATGGGGGAAGAGGGGTAGTGAGTGAGTTCTCGCTCCGTAGTTCCTGTGAGAGCTAGGTATTTAAAAGACCCTGGCACCTCCTCTCTCTCTCTTGCTTCCTCTTGCCATGTGATCTGCTTATATCCGCCCACTGCCTGCCACTTTCCACCATGAGTAGAAACAGCCTGAGGCCCATGCCAGATGTAGCTGTCCCAGAATCGTGAGCCAAATAAACCTCTGTTCTTTATAAATTACCCAGTCTCAGGTATTTCTGTTATAGCAACACAAACGGACTAATACAATAGCTTTGGGTAGTATGGACATTTTTACTACATTGATTCTTCCAATTCATGAACAGGGAATGTCTTTCCATCTTTTGGTGTTTTCTTTAATTTCTTTTGGTAGTGATTTGTAGTTCTCATTATAGAGATCTTTCACCTCTTGGTTAGATTTATTCCTAGGTACTTTATTTTTGTGGTGGCTATTGTAAATGGGTTTGCTTTCCTGATCTCTTTTTCTTCTAGTTTGTTGTTGGAGTTCTAGGTTTTATAGGTGTTCTTTGGTGGTGTTAGACCTTTACTGGTTAATATCAGAACTTTGTCTGTGATCTGTGGTTTTTTTGTTTTCTCTTTCAGTTCTGTGTTGGATTATTCACTATTCCCACCACTTAAACTCTGCACTGGAACTAATGTGTTGTCCTTTGCTTACTTCTAATATGGGGGAACTTCCTGTGGGGCCCAGCACTTGAGCCCTGTGGTTGAGCTAAATTGCCAGTTTGCTGCTGATTTCCTGGGGAAGGATTTTTGTGCAGCTCAGGTTTTAATTGTTGACCTTTTAAGCACTTCTGGGTCTTGTGAGGTCTAGTACACCTGGGTTGTGTGGAAACTCTGGTCTTGACCTGAGTCTTTTCAGCAAACTACACCCCCTGCAGTTCTACATTTCTGACCAGTCTCCACTGAGTGGTCCTGTGCTCAGTGGAGGGCAGATCAGCTGTCCATGCTGTGCCCCAGTGTTTCCCTGGTGGCCAGTTTCTCTCACCCCCTGCTCTCCAATCACTTCCCATGGGACAGGTCATGCACTGGGACTCACTGGCCTTTGAATGGCTCCTTTTTTCAGTTGTCTGTGGCTCCTTGCTCCTGTGTGGGTCCATAGGAACCCTGTTAGTTGTCTTGCTGGCCTGGGGACTACCAAGCCCTCTTCTCCCCTGCAACCTCCAAGCAACTTCATACAAAGTGCACACCTGTGGCTTCTGCCAGCTCTTGTTCGGCACACTCATCAGGGCTAGCCTTGAAGCGGTCAGAGCCCGAAACAGTCGGAGTAGTCCCTGCTTTCTCTCATTGTGGCTTCTCCTGCCTTCATGAACTCCATACGTCTCTCCTCCTCTTCCCCTGAGCTCTAGCCAAGTTCCATACCTTTTTGAGTCTAACTTCATGCATTCACAAAATGAAGGTTTGGACTACATGATTCTCAAGAGTCTTCTGGTTCTGAAATTCTAATTTTATCAATACTTTTATATAGTTGTATATATGTTTGTATATACGGAGGGTGGGAAATGTGCTATTAGAGTTTTAGGTTCCCTTGGTCTGTCTAAGTGCTAATTGCATCACCAAAGTAAAAGGCAATGGCCAGATCAGCCTACTAGCTAAAACCATACCTTCAATTATCTTTTACCCACAAAAGTAGTTAAGAACTAATTTTTTTAAGTTGCAAAAAGTGATGACTGATACTAATAACTTCAACAGAAAAATGAGTTGTCCAGCAGAAGAGCAGACTTTTAATAGGAATCAATTACTTTGCTCTTGCCTCAAAATACAAGCAGAACAAAAAGCCGTTGTTCACCAATGATTATAAAATTCCTATAATATTACTGCTTTATAAAATTCCTGTATAAAAATTAAATTGCTTTACATAATTAAAAGAATGGGAAGGACTGATAAAAAATGTTCTAAAAAGTTGTTATTTCTGGGTGGGTGGGGAAGTAGGAATAACTTTTTTTTTGTGGATAACATTTCTTTATGCTTATCTGTATTTTCTACTGTTTTTTATAGGGAACATGTATTACTATAGTAATTTCAAAAAGTTAAAAAAATAGCAATACTAAAAAACTTTTAAATTGCTTTAAAACTTGTCAAGCTTAGTGATAGCTTTAAACGCACGGCCTGCAGGAAAGCAGGAATACAGTTTTGAAATTGAAAATCTTTGTAAACTGAGCACGTTGCAGTTTCTATAATCTGAACATGTGAGTTGTTGCTGCCCTCTTTTGGTTCATTCTGGATGAGCAGAGAAAGTTTCAAATTAAAGTAGCAACTTGAAAACAGATTTTAATTTTATAACTTCTTTGGCAGATCAACAGTACTTCATTAGTAATGGTGAAGCAGTCTCCTACGATAACATTTTTTGTCATACTATCACTGACGCTCTATAGGTTAAGTCACATTTTCTGTAGAAAAAGTGAAGGGTCTCTTGTAGACACTTCTTCATATAATGGTTTGCAGAGTACCCTGGGAAATATTAAAGGCCCTAAGTAGCTTCATGCTAGAGATACATTTTGAGGACTATTTTACTTAACGTCCTCTAAAATTTTCTATATTATAAAAATCTAATCTCTTTTATGCTTATAGATAGGGCCTTAAAAACATTTTTAAAGTTTACAGTTTTTCTGCCTGCCTCCCTTTCTTTTATCTCTATTTTGAGATTTACTTAATATAAAAAGTAAATAAATATCCCAAAGCCATGAGACTCGTGAATCTGAAAGGAGTAAGTAGGTGATTTTCTGAAGAAATCTGTGCCAAAAAATAGGGAACTGGACAGAATTATCAGAATAATTTCAAAAGTTAAAAAAATAAGAAATAGATAAACAAAACTTCTAAACCACTTTAAAATTTATCAAGATTCGTCATGACTTTAAAGGCATGGGCCCAAATCAACAAAAAATTGAATTTGAAATCCTTGCAAACTTAACTACTTTGCTTTTTCTACAATCTGAACATGTAAGTTTCTACTCACGTGAGAGGGAGGATGAGGATGGTGATGTTGTAGACTGATAAGTGGGATTTGGTTGAAAAGCAGCCAGTACCAGTAGCCCCTCCTTCTCTGTTCCCCCTCCCCCCAACCAGCCTAAATCTGGCAAGGACCAGAGGCAGCTTTGTATTTTTTGATCTAGTATTTGCCTGGATGACTCAAGGCTCTTTGGCCCCTTGAGCACAATACTTCTAATTATGAGAGGTGATTAGAGTGTTTTGACTAATTGCCTATAAGGAAAAGGCAAGTGCCCCAGAAAGATCTAGTAACAGCTAACATTTGATTATCATCTTAGGGTTTGGAATATGCTTTGAAAGGTATCATCTGGGCCGGCCCCGTGGTGCACTCGGGAGAGTGCAGCGCTGGGAGCGCAGCAGCGCTCCCGCCGTGGGTTCGGATCCTGTATAGGAATGGCCGGTGCGCTCACTGACTGAGTGCGGTGTGGGCGACACCAAGCCAAGGGTTGTGATCCCTTTACCAGTCACGAAAAAGACAAAAAAAAAGAAAAAAAAAAAGAAAGGTATCATCTAATTTGACTTTCACACCAATCCTATGAAGCAGATATTAGTCTCATTTTATAGGTGAAGAAACTGCCTCAGAGAGGCTAAGTGATTTGCCAATTGTAAAGACTGGGGCTCAAGTAACCTGGGATTTGAGCCCAGGTCTTTCAGATGCTAAATCGAGTGATCTGATAGAGGACTGGTCACAAGAGAAATCCAAATAAGTTTTGTTCATTTTTCTGGAGAAAACAAATGATTTCAAATATTCTTACCTGGTAGTGCAAAAATAATTTTTCTCACACCATCAATATCCAAAGTTGCAAAAGTTGTTGGCAGGCTAGAAGAAAAAAAGAGTTTACTTATTAGTGATTGCTAAGTAATATCTGTGACTAGTAAACTAAGCACTCCAGTTTTCTTGTTATGTGGCTATCCACACAGATTACTCATCATATACACGTAAAAACATTCTTCTGTTGACTTGCCTTAAATCTTTATACTCTGATATATTTCAGGAGCATTTAAATAAATTTGATTTATTTTTAGCGTCTTCTATTTTTAAGTAACCAAACTTCCTGGTTTTCTGTAGCTTACATTTTTTTTCTTCTTGCCAGTGCCATGGAATTATACCCTAAATCCTGGAGTTTCTGAGTTTCCCCACCCCTCTAGTTAATAATGTCTATAGTATATTTTCTGGATATTTACAACAACCATTCTTATTACCAGAAGACTATGTGATAATATATGTCTATCAGATAACTGCTTATTGTTTAAGATGAGTATTTCTTAACTTTTTAAAACCATACTCAGGGCCGAGCCCGTGGCGCACTCGGGAGAGTGCGGTGCTGGGAGTGCAGCAGCGCTCCTGCTGCGGGTTTGGATCCTACATAGGGATGACCAGTGCGCTCACAGCACTCACTGGCTGAGCACGGTGCGCCCGGTCTCAAAAAGGACAAAAAAAATGGGCCGGCCCGGTGGCGCACTCGGTAGAGTGCGGTACTTGGGAGCGTGGCGGCGCTCCTGCCGAGGGTTCAGATCCCATATACAGACCGGTCCGCTCACTGGTTGAGCGCGGTGCGGGAGCGACACCGAGGGTTGCGATCCCGTTACCGGTCACGAAAAAAGACAAAAAAAAAGGACAAAAAAAAAAGGACAAAAAAACCCCACAAAAAACAAACCATATGCAGCAATATACATAAAAATCTCCCTGTTTGAAATATCCAAATAAAATATCATGACTAGAACAAATTTAAAGCAATAGTAATTAAAAAGTATTCTCAAATTATACTTTCTCAAGATTCTGACATGAATTCTTATCATGGGGGTGTGGGAAGAGTAAGTGGCATGGAGGGAGTGAGCAATTGAGAATTGTGACTTTTTTTTCCTATTAATTATCCTTTATGTAGATTTTTAGCTAAAAATATTATTATATTAATGAAACTTAAGCAATGCAGAATCCTTAGGGAATGCTGAAATTTCCATATAGATGAAAAATTACCTTTTTAAGTACTCACATTGTTTTTATTTTTTCTATTTTTGCAGGTTGATCTTTCAAAATTGGATCAGTCACTCATTACCTTTTGCAATAATTGATGACACTAACACTTTTTGATGATTCAAACACATCATTAAGTATTCTACTCTGCTATAATTCAGTAATGTTAGGTTACAAGAGTAATATGGGTTTTCATTGATAAATCATAACCCCACACTGCTGTGTTTCTATAGTTATTGTTTGTTTGTTTTTTCCCCCCTGTGGCTCCCCTTAATGCCAGACTGCCATCATCTTGACCCTTAAAGCTGGCTATAAGTTTGGGAATCAGAGAGTAGTACTAATAGTCATATTGTTAGAATGGTAATAATAATAGTAATAATAGAAATCACTATTTTAAAAGTAACAGGTATGCATTACACCCATTATTTCATTTAAATCTCATGATAATCCCATGAGGTAACAATTATCATCCCATTCTATAGATAAGGAAACAGACTAAGAGAGACTAAGTAATTTGGCAAAAATTACTCAGCTACTAAGTGGGGAACAAAGATGTGAACCAAGGTTATTCTAACTTTATGGCTCATATTTTGATAAAGCTCTCACAGGATGTGTTGTGAAGTGTTAGTATATGGAGTTTGTGACATCTGTTTTGGCTACTCGAAGGCTTTTTTTGGCTTACTTCCTGATTCTTTGCTGTGTGTTTTAGAAAAATGATATTAGATTGTCACATTGATTTATGGATAGGTTACTTGGCAATGATTGTTACTGTGTGATGAAAATAATTTCCCAGGGACATTCTTGATAACAGCTATGCTCACTGTAGGTGACCACTAAAAATAGTGATTGGTAGATCTGGTTGATAATACTGCAAATGCTTTTCTCAGTATCTTTGTCTCTAAAATGAAAGAGCTTAATTGTGTTCTGAATGTACCGTATGTGGGAAGAGCAAAGCTAAATTGTATTTGAGCTTTTTATATTTATTTTTGTTATACTATTAAGCAGCAATTGCCTTTAAGTTCTTCTTACCTTTAGACAAGTGTAAAATTCTGGCCAATTAAATGAAGCTTGCTTAAATTTCTAAGTTACTTTATTATACCAAACTAATACACAGATAATAAGAGTGAGGAGGGAATGCATACCATCTTTCTTCTACTGTATTGAAAGCCAACTTAAATTTTTTTTTTTCCCTTTTTTTTTTTTTTGTCTTTTTTTCGTGTCCAGCAACGGATCGCAACCCTCAGTGTCACGCCCGTACCGGACCGGGACCGGCAACGGGATCGCAACCCTTGGTGTTGCTCCCGCACCTCACTCAGCCAGTGAGCGGGAACCGGTCTGTATGTGGGATCCGAACCCTCGGCGGGAGCGCCACCGCACTCCCAAGCGGCGCACTGTAGCAGTGCGCCACCGGGCCGGCCCGAAAGCCAACTTAAATTTTAAGGCCAGTTTAAGCCATCTTTTCCATCTTGCAGATGCATAATCGTGATTTCTCTAAAGGTACTCATTTTTAAAAGATTCCATTGCATCAAAACATTTTGCTATCGTGCACTGCTATCATGAGCGTCCTATTGCTAGACTGTGAAGTTTCTGTTTAAGCTCTGGAAAACTATTTCCTTGGAACTCAACAACTATTGTTTAATTATCCTCTTGAGATCAGAATGTAATAGCATTTATACAATGACTGAGGTCACAGAGTATTATGACTTTAAGGGAGGAGAATAAACATTAGGAACTGATGAATCCCTGAAGGTGAAGTGGAAAATAATAGACTGAAAAAAAAAGAGTATAAACCTTTTCATCATAGGTGCTGAGATTAAAATTTTAAATAATAGCTATTACATAAATAATTCTCCTCTTGAGGCAAGGACATGTAATGTCAGTTTCCTTCCCACTGCAAAAGGAACAATCAATTCAATTTTTGAGATTAGTGAGAAGCACAATGACAAGCTTTTAGGATGTTCTCTGTTTTCTAATCAAATTAGTACTGCCAAAAAAAAATGAAAAAGAAAAAAGAAAAAAAAAGCCAGTATACTCATAGCATAATAATACTTGCTTAAGACAAAATATTCTTATTAAGAATGACCCAATTCCAACAGTTTCAATAACAAAAAGGCTTTGTCAGCAGCAGCCATATTGGCAACAGGCAAGTACAGAAATATAATGCTAAGAATTCTAAACTCTATCAAATTGTGGAGAAAGTTTTAGGGGTAATCTTAGCTCTTACACTAAAAATGGCCAAGTCATGGAGGTAAAAAGCCTGATCTTTGTCCTAGAATTGACAAAGTACCCAATAAATCAGGGATATTAGGAGGGCTGATGACACTTAAAAGGCTTCTGGAATTTGTTGATGATTCCCAAGGCTAACTTACAAGTGGAAAGCCTCTACTCCATTCCCTCTTAGTGTTCATATGAGCATCCACCAGAGTTTAATTCTGAACTAAAACATTACTGTTGTCCCTGACAGCATGGAGGTCTGCTGGACGCTCACCTGGACATTGAAGTCTTTGAACAGGGAATCAAAGTTTGTAGAGTAGCAGAGGTCTGAGCAGGCAGACTATTGCTTAAAGACATGACCATTCATGTTTCACTAGCACCAATGTTTGGCATTCTGTGAGGATTTACAACTGATTACAGAACCTTTATTGGCCCCTTCTTCAGGGGTTATTTGTTTTTAGGAGGTGTGCAAAAACTTGGTATATGGTTATCTTTCTTTCTTTCTTTCTTTTTTTTTTTTTTTGTCTTTTTCCGTGTCCGGCAACGGATCGCAACCCTCAGTGTTGACCCGTACCGGACCGGGGACCGGCAACGGGATTGCAACCCTCGGTGTTGCTCCCGCGCCTCGCTCAGCCAGTGAGCAGGAACTGGTCTGTATGTGGGATCCGAACCCTCGGGGGGGAGCGCCGCCGCGCTTCCCAATCAGCGCACTATCCAGTGCGCCACCGGGCCGGCCCCTGGTTATCTTTCTTTCTCTTGGGAGACTGTAAGAAGCAGTGTGAAACCCCACTTATTAAGTACTCTTGCAAAGAAAAAAAAATTGAATCTGAATCTAATTAAGCCTTTAGATCTAACTTTCAATCTATAGAATATACTGGAGATAGAGGAACACATTAAACACAGCCCAAGGAAGCAATCAACCAAATCTATTTATCAGGACAAGTGATCCAGTTTCTCCAAGTCCATGACATAACAAAAAAAGGGGGGGGGTGCTATACGAAGTTATTACGCGTTCTCATTTAATAGAGACTTAACAACCAAATACAATGAGTGGACCTTACTTGAATCCTGATTCAAACTAAACAATTATAAAAAGGCATTCTTTATCTTGACATTTGGGAGAAATTTGAATATGACCACAGTATTAGATGATATTAAAGTATTATTTATTTTGTTAGGTGAGATAATACCATTGTCATTATGTGAGAGAATTCTATTGTTGCTATTTTTATTTGAGATGTATACTAAAATGGCATGATGTCTAGAATTTGCTTTAAAACAATCCAGCTCTCCCTCCTCCCCAAAGGGCAGCGTGTGTGTGGGGGATTAATAAAACAATTACAGAAAAATGTTGATAGTTACTGAAGCTAAGTGATGGGTACTGGTGGGGGCAGTGTTCATTGTATTCCCTACTTCTATGTACTTAGGAATTTCATACTAAACTGTTCTAAAAAAGAGAAAGAAGTAATATGGGGAGAAAGAGAGAAAGAGGAAGAAGAAACTAGACATGGGAATTGAAAAGAAGAAAAAGTTTGGGAAGTTGCTTTGCTTTGTTTATACCAAACTCACTGATTCATAAGGAAGATGAACTCCTATTTAAAAACTCCTTTGCACTTGTGCAAAGGATTCTAATACTATAATATATCTTTTATTAGAATAGATAATCCATAATAGAAAATATAAAAAGAAAGCATATAAAACATTATTAGTTAAAGCAAGCCAAACCAACCCCATATACGAGATAAGATTATTTTCATACCCTGGTTTCATAAAAACCCTGCCAAAATGGATCTGAGCATGAAGATCAATGTCCAGCACCTGCTTGAGATAGTCCTGCAAACATTAAAAATAATCACTTTACATTCAAACATTTTGATATCAGACTTTCAACACTTCAAACGAAAATAAAATGAATTTATAAGATTGAAATAAAAGAAACATCTTTCTTATTTTAGTGACACTGATTTGCTACAACAAATATTCCTTCATTTACTAATTCAATAAATACTTGCTGAGCACCTGGTATATCATGAGTACCAATTTAGGTGCAGAGGGATATAGCCTTGAAAAAAAGGACAATGTCCCTGCCCTCATACGAAGTACATTCTAGTAGGGGAAGCTAGATAATAAACAAAATAACTACATTAATGTATAATATCATTGTTGATGGGTTACTATCTCTTTTTTTTGACCCTTTGGGGAATCAAATCCTGCGTGACAATGTCTCTTTTAAGATGGAATTTTACATATGAGAAAGGATGTTAACAAATATGCCTTAAGAAGTTGTGTCTGAGCAAGCAATCCACAGGTATGTGGCCTCCACTGTCCTGCTTAATGAACTTAAAATAATATACATTTCTTGAAGAAAGATTTGGACATTTGCCCACAGGTTACTAAATCTAAATAAGTCAACTAAAATGAAAAATAGCGAGAAAACTCTAAAACAGAAAGTCTAGGGAGTTTAATTGCTCCAGCTTTATACATCCTGCTAACAAAAACACAACCAGCTTGTGGTTATGATCAACCCAGATTGATTTGACAAAACATGACTTTTGGAAATGAAAGGTAACATTGCCCTGAAGTTGGTTTTGTAGAAATAAAGAAAAAACAACAACAACAACAACAAAAAACAAAAAACAAAAGTTACAGTCCTTAAAATTTCTCTTAAGTAAAACAATCTCTAGGACTATTACTGAATTTCTTGTTCACTAATCTAAGAGTGAATCTAGTAACCTGCCAAAATTTTAAATATTTCACAAACTGTGAGACATTTTATTTATTTTTAAATCTGTTCCCTTCTTTCTATTTCCACAGCCTCATCCAACATCATTGCACCTGGATTACTGAAATAGGTCTCCTTGCTAGTAGTCCTACCCTCCTCCAAATCACTCACCCCATAGTACTGAGAGAGATCCTTTGAGACAAATCTGGTAAAGTTACTATATAAAACTTCAATAACTTCCTGGTTTCTAGGAAAAAAATCTCATTTTTCTCATTTTAAAAATATCATATCTAAGATTCCTGTATTTTCTAGTCCCCTTTTATAAATCATTGGTCTCATCTGTCAACCCTCTTTCTACCTAGCCACATTTCTTTCTCAATCTGTTTACATTCAAGCAAAACTATATTGCTTTCAATTTCTTAAGCTCTCTTGCCTCCAGTCTCTAAAAATGTTCTTCATTCTGCCTTGAATACTTTCTTTCTACCTCCTTTCCATCCCACTCTTATCTTAGTCTAGGTAACTTCTCAGCCTCCTCTGAACTCCCAAGGCTAGATGACAGCTTGATTATTAATTATTTTTATTTTGAGGTTATATTAGATGTAATAAATTTAGAATTGTTATATATTACTGATGAACTGACCCATTTAAAATAATAAAGTGTCCCTCTTAATATCTACTAATCCTTTCTACATTAGTTTTCTCTGATATCAATATAGCTATACCAGCTATTTTTCATTATAACTTTTTTCTGATATTTTACTTTCAATTTCCCATGTCCTTATATTTAAGGTGTGTCTCTTATAAGCAACATATAATTTGCTATCTTTTTAAAAATTCAGAATAACAATTTTTAATTGGAAAATTCATTCTATTTATATTTAGTATGATTACTGCTATATTTGGGTTTAAATCTATCATTGTACTATTTATTTTCTATTTGTCACTTCTGTTTTGGTTTCCTTCTTTCTTCTCTCATACCTTCTTTAGGATTTATAAAATATTTGTTAGTTTATTCTACTTCCCTTCTACTTGCTTGTTAGTTATACATCTTTATATTATTTTAGTGGTTATTTTAGAGATTATAACATATATCTTTGACTTATCACAATCTATCATAATTTGGTATTTTTATTGCTTCCCAGATGACACAAGAACCTTAAAACATATTAACTCTATTTATTCTTCTCTTCTTTTTATGCTATTGTGTACTATATATTCTACCTGTATTTTAAGTAGATTTGTATGTATATGTATGTTTATATATTTAAATATATATTTGACTCCATTATATATATTTTCTACATATACTGTATAGATAGTATATATTTTATATACTTAACATATAATATTCATATATTTTAAACCTTATGACATTATCTATGAAATAAACACTCATTTACATTTACTGACATATTAACAGTTTCTTTTGCTCTTTAGTCCCTTCTGCATTTCCATGTTTCCATAATCCTTCTGCCTTAAACTCCCTTTAGTGTATGTCTGCTCAGTTTTTGTTTGGCTGAAAATGTCTTTATTTCACCTTCATTTCTGAAGAAAATTTTTGCTGGATGTGCAGTTCCATATTGGCAGTAATTTTTTTCTGGACTTTAAAAATGCTAGTCCATTGTTTTCTGGGTTCCATCATTTCATTTAAATCATTTCTGTTCGTTTTATTGTTGGTCCTTTGAAAGTAATTTGTCTTTCTGGTAAAGTTTTCCTTGTCCTTGGTTTTCAGTAGTTTTACTATGATTACCTAGGTATGATTTCTTTGTATTAATCCTGCTTGAGATTGGTAGAGCTCCTGGAATCTCTGACCTGATGTCTTCTATCAGTTTCGGAAAACTCTCTGTCAGTATCTGCTAAATACAATCGCTTCTGCTCACTCTCTCCTCTTATTCTTGAACTTTGATTATGTATACGTTAGATCTCTCACCATATCTCATATGTCTCTTATGTTCTTTTCCACATTTTCTATCCCTTTCCTAAAATTTTCATTTGATTCATATGAGTAGATTCCAGTTTCCTAGTGAAATTCTCCATTTTGTTATTTCTTTTTCTTAAACATTTTTTGAAAGTCCATGTGAGACAATAAAAATACCAGGATCACTTTTAGAGCTATTTTACCAATTTTTTCCTTTCTCAATTTTTAGTCATTTTGTTCTATCTCTGACATGTCTGGTAATTTTAAAAATTGAAGCCCAAACATTGTATGTGAAGAAATTAAAGAGGCTCTTGATGACGATATACATATTCCTCCCGAAAGCATTTAATTTCTTCTGGTAGCTGGTTAAGTGAAACTCAGATTATCTTGATCTAATCAGGGATTGATGTAATGTGATTCTGGATTTCAGTCCCTGTGAAGGGTGGTTGATTTTCAGTTTGTCTCTGTTCCTAGGGAACAGTCCTTCCAGGGTTTAAACTGAAAGCCTGAGGTATTTGCCAGGGCCCTTCCTCCATGGCAGGCCCTGAAATTCTAAGAAGGTTGAAAATTTTTCCTATTTAATTATCTTCTTCTTTTTTTTTCCTTTTTGTCTTTTTTCGTGACCGGTAATGGGATCGCAACTCTCAGTGTCGCGCCCGTACCGCGACCGGCAACGGGATCGCAACCCTCGGTGTCGCGCCCGCATCACACTCAACCAGTGACTGGACTGGTCTCTATATGGGATCCGAACCCTCGGCAGGAGTGCCGCCGCACTCCCAGGCGCCGCACTCTACCGAGTGTGCCACCGGGCCGGCCCTTTTATTATCTTCTTAGTTACTCTTTTATGCTTGGTTTGGTACCTCTTGTACCATTACACCTCTCCTCTAGCTTAGGAATTAGTAAATGCTTTGAGGAAAAATATGGTGAAAAATTCCAGTTTTATTTCTCTGTGGATTACTTTTTTTCTGAGATCTTGGTGCCCTCCGTCTTAGCTGTCTTGGTTGCTTTCTTCAGACACATTTTCTTTTTTCTTTTCCTTCTTTAAAACATTTTATATATAACTTTTATAGAAGTTCTTAGTGGGAGGGTTCTTCCAAATATGCTATTCTGTCATAGTAGAAGCAGAAATCTCCAGACCTTTCTTATGTGCTCTTATAGCACTACATCCACCTGATAATCATTTACTGAGGTTATACTGCAATTGCCTGATAACTGATATGTATCCCTTTTTGGACTATAAAGTTTGTGAGAACAGGAACACTGTCTTTTAAATATTTATAAAAATGATGAATCCCTAGCAAATAGCACATACCTTTCACTCACTCATTTGTTAGTTCAACAAACATCTCGGAATGCCTATTATGTTCCATATGTACTGGGGACTTAATGGTAAACAAGCAAGACATAGTCCCTGACACACAGATGTCTTGTATTTTACTGGGGAAAAACAGCCCCAAATAAGTAAACCAACAAATAAAATAATTACAACTTGTGGTACATGCTATGAAGAAAATAAGCAGGTGCTGGGATAGAAAATAATGGAGTGGGGTGGAGAATAAGGAAAGGCCATTTTAGAAGAGGTGGTGATATATTACCTAGGCCATGAAGAATAAAGATTCAGGAATGTGAAGTGTAGAGGGAAGAGAATTCCAGAAAGAGTGAAGTATATATAAAACCTTCTAGTGTAGTACAGAGTGTGTTTAGAACTGAAAAGCCCATGGAAGGTACTGAGTGAGTAGGAGAGAGGCATAAGCTGAGGCTGGAGAGAGAGGCAGAGGCCATATCTGCAGGGCCTTAAAGGTTACAGAGTTTAGAGAGCAGATGCTTATATGCTTGGTAAATGAATGCAAGTATTTTATTTTTCTTGCAAAAAAATCCTGTTTTTATAAAAATGCCCCCTTTCACTGTATTTGAACATGAAGGAGTGCTTTGTGTTCCTTGTGACAGAGGGAAATCTTATGCCAGACACAATGATAAAGGCTGAGAATCATCACTGTTCTTAAATTTTTGACTACCTATTGAAGCAGCAAGAATCTTTTTCTGATATTCTGAAACCCAGAGTTAGATAAGGAGAAAAATGAATGAATGAAGGAGCAAGGTCTTTTCTTCAACTCAAATAAGGACAAATACAGTGTAAGAAAAATCGTGAAAGACTTTGAAATGGGTAAGATGGGCAAAAAAAGATTACTGGTT